CAAGGATTACAACAGCAGGGACTGACATTTAAGTGTTTGACGAAGCCAAAATGGCTCTGGCATGGTTATTTGATTAATCAATTAGCGCGTCAACAGAAAATAATGCAAATCGGATTTAAATATACATTAATTCTGTTCATGTAACTAATTCATTATGGCAAAAGTGCAAAACATTCGTTTTTTCTTGGGAGGTTTCATGAAGGGAAAAAGTCATTACTAAATCATACTTGCTCTTGTGCACTCAAGTTAGTAATTTGTGCACACACACTCTTTTGACATTCCCAAATACAAATGTAAGGATTCACATAATTATTCGTCGTATCAGTGTAATTTGTACAGCTTTTGAGGTTTTGTCACACAGAAACAATTGAAGGTGTATCAAATTACAATTTTAAAAAAGGTGCTACTATTTTCTTTTTTATATGAAAACCAAAAACAACCAACCCAAACTTTTAACAAGGCTGGACTGGTCAAGGTTGTGCTTCAAACTGTCTTCAGTTTTTGATGTGCGGCTCGTGCTGCTTCACTTAAAAATACATCACAGCTCCACCTATGAACCAGAACTCGAACAGACACAGACAAAGCAAGCGGCAACAGGAGAATTTCACTGCAGCCAATTTGTCAGAAACTGGCCAAGGTAGGAGGTGACCTGTCGAGCTCCTGTTAACATGTGCGCCCATTAAGAAACATATTGCAGCTTGCTTCCTTTTGTGACAGGAACAGGGCATGTAAAATCTGGCAGGTGGCTAGATAAGGAAAAAAAATTCTGTTTTTCAAACCTTAAAGGAAGATGATGACTGCTACTCAGATGTGCATGTTTCCTGCATGTTTGAGTGTGGTATGTTCATTTCTGAAATGCTCAGTGCATTAATGCTTGATACAGCCAAGTTAATTACTGGTATCACCATTTACCTAAAACCAGTATTAACTCTAGCAGATGCACGTACACTCAGCATCTCCAGGGTTTGCAGTGAACAGTCTGAAAAAATGAAAATACCCAAAGAGCAGCAGTTCTCTGGGTGAAACCGCTTTGTTGATGCCACAGGTCAGAAGGTAATGGCCAGATTGGTGACAGAAAGGAATTGGAAGGCAACAGAAACTCAAATGACCCCCTTTTACAATCAGGATATGCAGAAGAGCCTCTCTCAAAGCATAAATCGTCAAAATCCAAAAGCTGATGGACTACAGCAGCAGAAGACCACACCAAAACTCAACTTAAGAACACTTGAAACACATTACCACCAGGTTCTGATGAGTCTAGATTTTTGCTCCCATATTAAGATGGTAGGGTCAGAGTTTGCCATGACAACATTAAAGGATGAATCTATCCTGCCTTCTATTAACAGTTAGGCTGGTTGTGGTGATGTAATGGTTTGAGGGATATTTTCTTGAAACATTTTGGGAACCTTAATACCAAATCAGCTTTGTTTAAGCACCACAGCCTACCTGAGTATCGCTGCTGACCATGCCTTTATAATCACAGAATAAACATCTTCTGGTGGCTGCTTTCAACAGGACAAGATGCCACGTCACAAACCTCAAACCCTTTCAAACTGTTTCTTGAACATGACAATGAGCTCTCTGCACTCAAAAGGCTTCCACAGTCACCAGATCTTAATCCAATAGAGCACCTTTGGGATTTGGTGGAACAGGATATGTAGCCAACAAATGTGAAGCAACTGTGTGCTGTTATCATGTAAATATGGAACAAAATCTTAGAAATGTTTGCAGCACCTTGTTGAATCGATGCCATCAAGAATTAGGGCAGTTCTAAAGCCAAAGCGGGAGTCCAACCCTGACTAATAAAGTGAGTGATGAGGGTAGGAGGAGAATTAGCATTACAACTCTATGAGATGCAGTCTTCAGACTTTACAAATGCATAGCTGTGTTAAAAATAAAGGCCAAGCTGTAATTTGAATGTAGTTAAATTGGCTAACATTGAGCATAGGTGCCACAAGGCATGATGAGCTATAGTCTGTTGACGGTTTTACACCCATGCATCATGCCTTTATTGTCATTGTACATGTATGGCGACATTATGGATGCTCCTAGCCAACTGTGCAGGAATAAAACACAAATAGTAAGACAGGAGAAATATATACAATCAAGACAAAGTTACACAAAGTGCTTCAAAGTAGTGCAATGCACTTAGTCTGAAAAGAGTCCGTATGTGAGTGGCCTGAGTGATGTGGGTTACTCAGACCACGGCTCAGATTGGTGAGGTAAGTGGGCAGAGGCGGTGTGTGGGGGATAGTGTTTTTTAACAGTCCGAATGTCACAGGGGAAGAAGTTGCTTTCGAGTCTGAAGGCGTGGGATCTGACCAGAGGGCAAGGGGTCAAGCAGGTGGTGGGCGGGGTGCAAGGGGTCACCTGTAATGGCCCTGCTTTTTCTGAGACAGGAGGATCTGCCAATGCCCTTCAGAGGTGGCAGAGGGAGGCTGATGATTTTTTAGGGCAGTGTTAATTACCCTCTGCGCAGCCATTCTGTTCTCAGTTGTGGCCCAAACACCCAGGCAGTATGAGCGCTAGGAGTGCTAGGAGTGCTAGGAGTCCAGCAGCAGCTCCCAGGTTATGTAAGATAATTTCTAGTATGATTTCTTTCTTTTTTTTATAGAGTAATGTATATAATAACGTGATGTTTTTGGGGTGAAATACTGATGGGGTGGAACTTGAATTACCACGGACAGATTTGACACTGGCAAGACATATCACAGCCAACTGACCTCTGACCAAACAAGGGAAGACAGACTCTGGGAATGACATGCTGAGTCGAACTCTGACCTGTCTGGGTGTGAAAGCCAAACGAGAAAGTCCAGAGCCAGGATCAGGTTTCAGCTCGTGTTTTAAACGTTTGCTGGAGAGGTCAAACAAGTCCACGGCAGATTTGAAGAAATTAATGTAACACATGTAGGGTCACGCCACATGAGCACAGTCCAGATATTTTCCCTCTTATATACAAATATCCCCACTGCGGAACGACGACTGGTTGATCAATCTGTCTTGATGCACAACTACAGATCAGCCAGTTCTTCTTACCAGTCTCCTGGGTCTTAAATATCCTGAACAACTCATCTGGAAGAACTGAATCCATTCGTACTGAGAAGATACTAAATGCCTTAGACCTGAGATGGGTCACATCACGGTGATAATGTCTCTCTAGGGGGGGACACTGTTTGCTAAAGGAATTTTTTACTACAGTCCAAAAATATATTCACAGCTCAGCTTTCGTTTGTCAGAGGGTGCAGCACGCAAGCTGCATGCAGCGCTCAAGGCAGAGGCAGTCATGTTGGCCGAAGCAGTACATCTGGCTCGTAAATACTCACTGACACTAAAATGTGTCAACCAATGGGAGGAAATCATTCACAAACGATGCCCAACCAGGACAGGAACATGCATAAGACAGACAGGGAGAAAATCGACATGAAAGTTGAAGGAAGGGTGTCATTAAATATGTATGCAAACACAACATTGCACTGAGTCGCTCCTTCAGCTGCCTTAGATTTGGATGAAACCCACAGTCTAGAGACGAAGTAGAGCCACATGAAAATGAGCAGTAATTATCCTCACTAATTATGCTTTGCATTAAGTAAGGCTACAACTAATTACTTTCATTGATCACAAAAATTGTTTTTTGCACAACTTGTCCAAGAAATCATGAAGAAAAAGAACCCCTCTCAAGTTTAGAAAGTGAAATATACCATCTTTGTTTTGCCTGTTTTGTCTGGTCAGAAATGTCTTAATGATTAAAGGGACCACCAAAATCATGGCTGCAAACTTTTTCGTGGGTTGTAATGAAGAATACCCTCCATCAATTTTCCCCATCAGCCCAAATTACTTAAAAGCTGGTAATATTCTGCCGATACAGACAGTCTCAGACTCTCACAGACCGATCAACTGACAATGATGGTTTTCGATGAGCCCGGCCCCGCGGGAAATGCACATCAAGGCTAACGTCTGACGATGATGAACTGTTGATGAATAAATGAACAACTTCCTTATACTTCAATCCCAGTTTCACACATTTGCCCTTCCTGGTAATTAATTCCCAGGATTCACATAGCGAGTGTCGTGACTGTCAGTGTGTTTAGAAGTTACTGAAATGCAGCTCCTCGACTCACCACAGTTGCAATTTTATTGTGTGTGGCATCCTTGTTGAATCTCACCTAGGGCGTAGAATGCTGGTGACTCAGATGACACGAGCCCAAAGGCTTGCAGTCACAATGCCAGATAAACAAACAAACAAAAAAGCACATACTAGTATATAAAAACAACCTGACTTCACATTTGAACATCTCCTCAGTACAGCCCCTTTGTCATGCTGCTGCTGGGAACCCATACATATAATTCAGGCTTCATAAAAGCTTCTCACTTGATTAACTTCAAATCAACTATGGGCTTTTATTTTTAAATTTAACACTAGAGAAACCCTGGAATTGAAAAAGTGAAGTATGCTTAAAGTGCCTTGAAGTATGCTTTTAAAAGCACCAGCAAAACGCCAAAAGTGTTACAACGGATTACTAAAGAGACTTTCAGCACCATCAATTATACAGCAGCTCCTCTTTTTTGCGGTACACAGTGGGTGGACTTGGAACAAAAAATAAAAAAATCATGTTCTGCTGCTCACACATGGAGAGAATGAGTGTGAACCATGAATTAAGCAAGTTTTTGTACTTGAAGATGTATCCCTGCACCCCAGCATGTGTTACATATCTGTCGGTCTGATGTAGCAACTAACAGCTGCATATATAAAACACGATGTATCCCACGCTGCCAAAAGGGAGACACGAATGAAGAACAGAATGAATCGGAAAAACATATACACAAGAAACACAGTGCATATAGACGGATGCTACAGGGTCATTTAAACTGACAAAAAAAGAGAAGCTTTTTCTTCGCGTTTAAAAGAAAACACAGGAAAATAATCTGCTACTTTTACGCACGGACTTTCAGTATACCCTCCCTGGCAACATATGGCAAGACCCCTTCTTTCCCCTTCTTACCTTTGACAGATTTTAAGAGCATCCTGTCACACACCGACAAAGTGACAGTTAAAGCCTGAAGTGCTGTCAAAATAACAAACTTCACACTCCAGCTCTCGGGGTTCATGATGCTGAAGCGTGGAGGGGGACTAGCCAACTGTCTTTCACTGCAGCGCAACCATCATACAGTTCCAGTCCAACAACAGCTGATGTGCAAGAGCCTCCCCACAAATGAAACGACTTCCTGAAATGTGATCAAGTATATGACCGGTGCTTTAGGAAATCCCAAAGACAGCTGATTCGAGTCCACTCACTTCGTCCCCATTCAAAGATGTCCAAGTGCGAAGCCGCTCGCGCGTAAGTAAAAACTGTGGAGAGCGATGAAAATATTGACAAAGGCACGAGCCGCTGCTGTCTCTCAGTCGCCCCACTGGAATGACATCAATTCCACAGCAATTACTGGCGAGGAGTGTTGTCTTATGAGTAGCGACCATGTGCTTCAATGATGCGCTCCGCGAGGTCCTAAAGCCACCGCCAGGGCACACAAATGGCAACCAGGCTGTCAAGTTAGACGCAAAAAAGAAGCAATTTCCGGTCCCATTTTTCAACAAGAAGGCAACAGTTCCATGGAGAATAAATAAATAATTTAGGGCAAAATCGATTCTTTTGATGGAAAAAATTTACTGGATTTATATCCTCAAGTTTCATTTAAAGCCATCCTTTTGAACACAGTGTGTTCCAAAAGCTACAGCAAAACCTGCATGAATCCAATTTAACCAATTTTGTATGCATTTGTTAAAGCATAAGTCTGGCAAGTGCACAGGCTGAGAGATATCAGAAGGTTTTATTTTGAAGTTCTTAATTTTCGTGAATCATCGGCCCCCATCTCACCCTAGCATCCTCTTGTGTCACCCCAACCCCCTGCATCTTCTCTGTACTGTTTTCCTCCTACCTGGCAGCTCCAACATCCTTTGCCCAGTTTATCCACAATCCATCCCCCGCACATGTCCAAACCAGCTCAGCCATGCTTCTAACTTTGTCTCCAAACCGTTCAACTTGAGGTGTCCCAATACTCATTTTTAGTCTTGTCAGTTCTGGTCACTCCCAACCTATTGGGACTATTATCTTTCTGTCGCAAATCGCCCCTGACACTGGTCCCCACCCACTCCTACCTGCCTGCATTCTCTTCTTCACCTCTCTTGCCCACCGTTCGTTGCTGTAGACGTAGACACCCTTTTATTCTGAAGGTAAACCAGGTTATTTCATTCCTCTTTCCTGGTATTCCTTGATCAACTTCACCCAGGGAGCTTAACAGACCAGCACACACTATTTGACTATAGCCTCCCTGGGAAGGTGTTATAAGGTAAATCAATTACTTGTTACTCAGCCAGAAAAAAAAAACCAGACTGACTCGTGCGCATGCCACAAAAAAGTGGTTTTACTTCATCGCATTTACATTTTAAAATGCCAGAAAGCCATCTGATAGACCCAAAGCGCTCTGCTCAATTATGCTTTTCGCGATGTGCACTCTGCAGTGCGCCGCATCGGGTTGTTTAGCATTTCAGGTAGGGCTCCAGCATGCTTCCAGCATTAAGGCTTAAGGTAAAGTCACTGCGCCGTATCCACTTGTTATCTTAACGCAGTGTGAAAGCATACACCCTCACACAGAAACCTCTCAAAACTCTGCCTCCAAGATGAAACATGGAAATAAATGAATACTGAGGAGCACTCTGCTTGCCTTTTAAGAACCAAGGGGTGCTTGCAGAGCAGGGCTCTCTGTTGGTGTGCTAGAACAGATGATTAATGAACGTCCTTCCATCTTACCTATGCAACAATGAGAAAACGATTTTGGGAGAAACAAAATGGAAAAGAATTTCACTTCCCAAAGCACATTTACAAAAGTTGAAACACAAAAGTTGTTCAGATATAAAACACATAAATGTAGAATCAAATAAGAGTCAGTTGATGTGTGAATAATTTCATAACGGCTATTTTTATATGCACACACTCAGTTGCAAGGGTAAAATAAGGTAATCTTTGACTAAGGCCTCATGCATGCGATCAATTATCTTCTTTAAAGAACATCCATGGTACACAAGTGTCCTTCTAGTCTCAAATTATTATCATTGTGCACCATGAATGGTGTTATTAACGCACTCCCACTGTCCAAATACACCCACACATGCAATTGTACAGACATGAAAATAGGTTTATAAAAATAGTAGCAACCATCTGTTTTCTCTACACACCAATGAAAATTACAACGGATGAAACGACTGGACTACGGAGGAGCACAAACCTAAAGACAAATGAGGAAAAATGACAATTGAGAGTAATGAGAAGATCTTCTGCTCTGTTGTCTGTTGTTCTAAAAATAAATATTGACACATTGCTTTACCCAGAATCATCACGTTGTTGTGCAACACCCCTCGCTCACTGCATATTCATTCTGGATCAAAACACACAAATTTGAATAAGCAACAGCGAGGCTTGGTCCATCATGACACAATGACAGAGACAAAGGCTCCATTCAGTTGAACTGTCCATTAACAGGGAGGGCTTCCACTGTAAAGAGGTCACATTCCTCCATCTGGCATCGAATGGTGGCAGAGCCCACTTCACGTTTCTTTCAGCATTGGATGTTAAATGAAGACGACGGATAAAGACTGTCCCGGATTGGACTGTGAAGCATAATGAATGATTTTGTCTTACATCGCTGCTTCACATCACATGGTATCATGTGAAAGTGACTGTCAGAAGACGCCACTGCTACAGTGAGACGCTTGTTCTGCATCCAATTACATGGAGTAGTCTCAAAACAAAGGCAGCTTGCAATCAAGTGCAAACAAGACAGCAAACTGCATAAACAGAAGTTAATCGAAACCATATCGGCGAGGCTGATGTTTGATTAAAACCACAACAGACTGTCCAGACATGATTTCATACTTTCGACCTTCAACAACCTTTATTTGAAATTGCATACCACAAGGGTGGCTAGGACAACCACGTGACAGAGCATAGAAAGGTCATTTAAACAGCAGGCACTGCTGATTTGAAGATGTTTCTAGAATCCATAAGGACCCTGTCCGAGTGTGTTCACTGCTCGCTTTTCAAGCAGTTTAACGTGTTTTAAGCAAGCACAGAAAGACATCCTTCCCAGATTTGCATAGAAGAGCAAAAGAATGAACAAATATGTAATTGGATTTATCTGTGATAAGGTCACATAGTGAGATATGCTGATTTTGCTTACTACATATTGTTTGATCAGGAAGTGCAATAAATTTGCATTAAGGTTAAATGTCTTTTTTTTACTTTGTATGAGAATATATGTTTTTAATTCACATAAGAAGACAGGTTCTAGAAAAATAATAAACTAAACTGACAAAGGGCAAAGTTCACTGTCTCAGTCTTTTATGCCTTTCTCTACATCTTCATCCATGTGTTCAGTTGTTTAGTTGTTGCTCCTTTGAAGAAGTTGATCCAGCAGTTTCTGTAACAAGAAAACACACAAGTGGCTGACGCATATCACAAAATAAAGGCTATATACAGACAACCAATCCGGTCCAGACAAAAGTCTCCTAGCATGCTCCTTAATCTTCAGAGGTCATGTGCAGAAACAGGACCGATTCCTGGTACATGGCACCCTCTCACCCAAACTGTTAAGCTTTCCAGCTCCTTTTTCAAGACCCGCTGGATCTTCTGGCATCATAGCCCTTCTTCCCTGCATTATCTGCCACAGCAGCAGTGTGGGAGGAGCAGCTGTGTGTGGGCACCCACTCTGTCTGCAGGCTCGGCTGAATGGTGGCACTGCGCTGTGGATTTCTCTGCCACTAAAGGGCCTTTTGTTTCATGAGGAACACGGGCTCATACACTCAGCACAATGAGACTGTTCACAGTCTCTCTTCATAATGAGAGGCAGGGTGTGGGGTGCAGGGTGAGAAAGAGAGACTACAGTTCCTCTAAATCAAACTCACTTCTATAGAAGATCAGAATTATTGACTATAAAATGGCAAAAAAGGAATGCTCGCTAGCAATCGCTAAACATGACAAATATGCCTCTGAAGTGCGTTTTTTAAGATCGGGTTTCTTTTGCAGGCGTGCAAGAAAATAGAAAAGTTAGGCAGCATCGCCCTCTAGTGGAAAATAAGTGTAAAGGAAAGTTTAAGTAATCATGCAATGGCGTAAAAAGTCAGTCTATTGTGGGTCTCGCTGTAAACAATCAGAGCAGGCATTTAATTATGTAAAGAATTTTTTACATTGCTACATGCTTGAAGCTAGTGCTCTAAAAACTGTATAAAATTGAAAGGTAAACCATTTAAAAGTAGATATTTCTCCCTATAGCTAGATTTTTATTGCAACACTGAATATTTGGTGGATCATGCAATAACTAAAGTGTAATTTTCTACTTCAAAACAAACCAAAACATTGTTCAGACCTCCAAAAGCAAATGACAAACCTTATCAGTAACTGTGGGTCTTTTTATCTGTTATAATTTGATATTAGGGCCCCACAAATCCATTTTTTTCAGCTAATTATAATGGATTACGTGCCCACTTTACTGCATTATTTTCAACAGCGGCATCGTTCTGAAGAGAGACAAGGCTGCATTATTAACATAGAAACCCTTAAGTGTTTGCCATTACTGCAAAAATGTTTCACTCTTTCCAAGGTTTAATTGAGCTGTAAGGGAAAGGTGTGTTATTACTTGCTCAATTGCCTGTGGGTCATACATGCTATTAATGTTCTGTTCAGTGTCTCGGGCAGATAACTACCAGACAGGAGTTATTTGCTTTATTCTCCATGTTCAATGATTTGATGACGTAAGTTCTACCTAAATATGTGTTTGTAACAACGTCTGGTGCTGATATTTAATGAGATGACAACTAGAATTAGATGGTTTAAACTCATGTTAGGTGGAGTTGTCTCATTAACTGATCATCTTTTATTTGCCTATTGTTGTTATCCACAAACTTTAAAATGTACTGTTTTACAAAAAAGCAGAAAAAAGTAAAGCCGTTGTTATTTTTTGGTTAAGATGTCAAATTACATTTATTCTCTTGCGTTCCTGAACAGAAATCAAGTCACTATGATTTTTAAACATTTTTTTTTAATTGATAGATTCATTTGTGATTGTTTTGTGAAAAATAGGTAGAGGATTTACCTTTTTGTAAAGCTCGGCTCGATATCTGTTGTTCAAACTGACCTCCCTCCTTTCTTCTTCTTTTTGTCTCTTGAGATCTGCAGGTGTCCTGTACAAAAATAAAAATGGTGTTTTAGATCTGGAATCTGCGGTTCTCAAAAAACCCCAAAAACCTAAAACATTTATTAGGAACTATATTACTGTGCAAAAGTCTTGAGCCACCCCTTATTTCGTCATTATTTGGTAGCAAAATCGGAAATTTTATTGAAGATTTACACAAACATGTGCCACATTGGCAGCACAATAGCATAGTGGTTAGCACTCTGGGTTTGAATCCAACATCTGTCCAGAACTTTTCTGCATGGAGTTTAAATGTGTCCCTGTGGGGGGGTCACACTTATATGCGGGTATTCTGGCTTCCCACAGTCC